GGGAAGCTGGGCATGGTGGTGCATGCCTGTAATCAGAGCACTCAGGAGGCTGAGGCAGGAGGATTGCTGTGAGTTCGAGACCAGCCTGGGCTACATACTGAGTTGCAGGTCAGTCTCAACTACATAGTGAGACCCTGTCTCAAAAAACAAAACAGAACAAAAAACAAATTAAAAAAAATGTCATAGGGAGCCGGGCATGGTGGCACGTACCTATAATCCCAGCACTCTGGGAGGCTGAGGCTGGAGGATTGCAAATTCAAGCCCAGCCTAAATGCCTTAGTGATTTAGTAAGACCCTGTCTCAAAATAATAAAAAGGGCTAGGGATGTAGCTCAGCGCAAAGGTCCTGGGTTTGGTCTTCAGTACTACTAAAAAAAAAAAAAAAAAAAAGTCGGAGTTATGAAATATCTTGAATCCCAAAGGATCACATTTAAAAACAGGACAATTTGCTCTCCACATTCTTCTTCAGCTTCCACCAGAAAAGTGTATGAACAGAAGTTAGTGCGATTGTTGGTTCCACCACCCGGTACACCGCCTATACTGACTGGACCCAGAGAGCCGGATGGATCTACGGACAGCGATGACAGTGAAGGTACTGCCGTAAGCCATGCAGCCAGACAGCAACTTAGCACGTATTGTTACCCTGTCCCACGTGATTTATGCAGCTTTAAATAGTGTGCATGCTGACCTGTGAAACAGCCATGTGACCTGTTTGCACTAGGAGCAGGGAAAATAGGCTCCTGGGCAACAAAAGGAATCTGAAATTCCACATCTGTATTCTCACCGGACACTTAGCTGGGGGAAGGACTGGTCAATTTGTGCATCCTTTAACTAATCAGGGCCAGGTACGTGTTGATTCCTTAAAGCCAGAAGTTCCTACAGATAAATTCAGGCTTCCTTCGAGATCTCCACCTTTGCTCTGTCTCAGTCAATACATTTGATCATTATTTTCTTCGGATTAAATGATTTCATGTCTATTAAGAAATAGGAACCTCCTGAGCCCCTCCTACGCCAGCTGCCCTCATGGTTTACATGGGAGCTGCAGGCCTCTGGTCCCTTTTGGGTGACAGTGAACGAGAGGGAGCTCTCTGGGACCCCTGGGCTTTGTTTACGGTGGCCCTGGCCCCGGGAGCACCATTCTCCTGCAGTGGGTTCTGGCTTAAGGCTCTGGGAGATGGCCTTGAAGATTCCTTCCCACAATACATGCCAGGGCTTTGTCACTGCACAGATAGTTACCAGGCGTCCTCTGAGAGCCACAGTGAAAAATCATTTAGTGAAGGCCATTCACACATTCTGGGCCTGATGTACATGCTTCTCATTTAGCCCTCAAACCCTTACCTGGAGCTCTGGGAGCCGAAGTGATGGGCCCATCACGTAGCTCAGAAGATAAGCACACAATAGAAAGAGGCCTGCCGAGCAAGGCCATCTGTCTTCACCGCCCGTGCTCTGCTTGCAACTGGAACAGTACGAGGCATGCAGCGAGAATTCAGTAGGTGTTGTCTGTGGAACGGAAGTGACACAGCTGAGATCTGAACCCAAGTTTCTTACTCATAATTTCTCCTAACTTTTCTCATAACTTCGTGAGGACAAACACATTACATTTCTGGATCACATTTGATCTGTAAGAAAGACTCTATCCCATAGTTCATATTAGCAGTCCAACAAGTACTGTAAGTGGCCTTTTGAAAGTCTCCTGCAGTCATGGCACTGGAGATGGAGAGAGCTTTCCGCAGGGGTGGGGCACAGCCGGACTCATGTGAAAAGGACTGCGAGGTTCAGGACAGACGTACCAGCCCCTGAGTAGGACACGTAGTGCAAAGGTGCCACAAGGCTAGTGGCAGAGCCGTGTCCCTCCTGGATATTCAGCGTGTCCCGTGTCCTGTCCCCGACCTGGCCTTCCTTGGAAAAGCAACGCAAGGGACTAGACCTGCGTGGGAACTGCTCCCAGAGGCCCAGCAAGCAGGTAGAAGCAGCAGCAGGGCTAAGCTGTGACTGTCTCAGGCCCAGACTCCCCAGAGGTGCATTTGTGCTGGGGCTGGGAGAAAACCGGTCTTTCAGTTTGTGGGCTTTGCCACTGTGTCCGAATGTGTCCTCCTGCTGGTTCCCTGCTGCAGGCCATCGGGTGACCGATCGAGACTCTCTTTCATGCATCCCTGCTGTCCTTGGTGGTGCTTGTTCTGAGCAGAAACCTGGCTGTCCAGGTGAGGCCTGAGCCCTGCACTGTGCTCACCGAAAGGGTGTGAAAGCCCCTGGTGCCATTCGAATGGAGGGGTTGAAATGGAACTGATGCCGGGGGTGGGGGGGAAATCCAGCCCTGTGCATTTCACAGAAACATCTAATGCTGGGGTGGGGAAGTGACGGGAGAGATGAACAAGGAGCTCTAGACCTGAGGCTGAGCCTTAGGTCATCCAGACAAACAGCAGGTCTGACTTTTCTTGCTTTTACTCGCTGTTTGGACAGCGGGTAGACATCGCTTTCGTTATCAAATCTCTTCATCTCTCTCTCTCTCTCTCTCTCTCTTTTTGGTGGGGATATTGGGGATTGAACACAGGGCCTTCGTACTGAACTACATTCCCAGGCCTTTGTTTTATTTTGTTTTTCATTTTGAGACAGGATCTTACTGAGTCATCCAAGCTGGGCTTCAGCTTGCAATTCTCCTGCCTCAGTCTCCCGAGGGCTGGAATCATCAGCATGCACCACCACGCTCGGCTCCCAGATATTTTTCACATGGAAAGCTCATTTAAAACCTCCCTGTTAAAAGCCAAGCTGAAGGTACAATAGCTCACGAATCCGCCAAGCGGATCATAAGGCCTCCCACAGTAGGGGTGGGATGCAGCTCCTTGGTAGAGCGATTGTCTGGCCTGTAGGAGGCCCTGGGTTTGACCCTCAGCACTGCAACACTGATTTCTCCTGCTGCCCCCCTCCACCTGCCCCATGGTAGTCTGAGCATAGTTCTGGCCTATCCTTCCCTTCCTGGGTATTTTTTGGATACAGTTGGAGAAAATCCCACTGCCCTGTTCTGCCATTCAGGACTGTGTGGGGCCTACAGCGGGTTTGCAGGGACGACAAGCAGCTGCAAAAACCACCAGGTGAGCAGCCAGTTCTGCATTTCTCCTGCAGACATTCAGGGATGGCAGGTGGCCGAGCGCCCAGGGAAGGCTAAGCTCCCCATGCTCGTAAGAAAAGGCCTTTTCCCTCGAAGGGCACCATGGATTTTCTTCCCTTCACAAAAGCGCCCTGTGATTGTGGACGCCACCCAATGTTTGGTGTTTATCTCCTTTGCTGCCTCCTATGTTCTCATGGCCTATTTTCTTTTTGTTTCCTATGATCCGGAGCTTATTATCACTTTGAAAGGAAATCTCAAACTCTCAACAGAAAAAAGCAAGGATTCAAAAAAAGTATGTACAATTCTAATGCACATATATTAAAAATAGGAAATAGAATTTTTCATATCTATTAAGAAAGGCAAGTAATATCACATTCTGCCAGAGTGGTAAAAAGCTAGTTTCAAGAAAATCATGTGAGCTGGGTGTGGTGGTGCATGCCTGAACCCCAGCAGCTCAGGAGCCTGGCAGGAGGATCACATGTGTGAGATTACCCTGGACAACTTAGCAGGACCCTGTCTCAAAATAAAAAGGGCTGGAGAGGTAGTTCAACAGTAGTGCACGCCTGCCTTCAATCCCTGGTACCTGAAACAAAAATGAAAACCAAACAACAAAACCATTAGAGCACCGGCTTCTGTTTTGTGAATCAGTTTTCAGGTGCTAGGAGATAACCCAGAATAAGGGTCTTGTTTCTGCAAAAGAGCTGCCTTAGGACCGGGGATTTAGCTCAGTGGTTTTGCCGCCTGCCTTGCCGCCACAAGGACCCGAGTTCGATCCCTGGTACCAAAATAAATAAATAAAAATAAAAAGAGCTGCCTCCCCACTCTTCCCCTACCTTTGCCCTCCCTTTTTACCCACTGGCCTTAGATTCCACTCACAGGTAGCGCTGAGCTGGGCTCTGTAGAACAGATTGAGTCTTTACCCTTGTCTTTCCCATATGCCATCCCTGGCTTCCACCTCGCCACCCTATTGAAGCAGGAGGCCAAATGTGCAAGGGGAACGCGTTTCAGGGTGAGACTGGGCTGGTGGAGAGGCCGTCCCCTCCTCCCTCGGAGCCCACTTGGGGAGTCAGGTGTAAGTGTGAGCCTCCTGGTGCAGTTCAACAGGACCCAACTACACGCGCAGTTCCAGCTCTCTGCACAGAATGCGGCCCAGGGCTGGGCTCTCTCGGTTATGACCTTTGCCCCCACTGGTTCGAGACCCTGCCTTCTGAGATTCTGGCGACTCCATAGACTCACTTCTCTCTTCTGCTCTTCACCAGCCTTCCTTTCCGACTCTGTCCCTTGGCCCCTGTGTATGCCTGACCCTGAGCCCTCCGCCTTCAGCCCCTCCTCGTGCTGCCCCACATCCTTTCCCTTGTCACCATCGCTCTGTGTCACGATCCCTCCCACCCCACCCTGGGACTTCTCTCCTGAGGCTTGGGTCTGCGCAGCCAGCTGCCTTCCAGACGGTTCCTCCCTTTCCCTTCTCTCTCCACAGCTTCTTTCCTCCTGCTCCCATCCATCCAGTAAATGGTCACTCGTGATTGTAAGGATTGTGTAGATTATGCAGATGAATTTATACTTTGCCCTATGGTTATTCCCCTGATACCTTGGACGCAGAAATATCCAGGATCAAGCACGTTTTCACTCTTCTCAAGCCCGCCTTTGTGTCCTCCGTTTATCCTGAAGATTTCACTACCTCCCCACTGTCCAGCCCCCAAAACGCCAAGTGATCTTGTTCCAGCTGCTCACCACCAAGTCTCCCCAGGGATCAGGTGCCAAGTCCTAGGGCTTTAATTAGGATTTGGGACTGGAGGTGTAGGTCAGTGTGTTGATCAGGTTTCTGTTACAGGAACAAAATGCCTGACATTTACAACCTACAGGAGAAAAGATTTTGTCTCAGATGTTTCAGTCTAGATGGAAACACAGTGGAAAGCCATGGTAGAAGAGCGGCTCGCCCACAGCAGCCAGGACGAAGAGGAAGAAAGGAGAGGGAGAGGTCAGGGACCACATTTAATCTGTAAGGTCACGCCCACATAACCCGCCCAGGCACACCCAGAAGAGTGCTTTACGAACCTCCTGGGCATCTCTCAAGCCAATACAGTTGACAAGACTTGTGCAAGGTTTGATCCCAAGCACTGTAAAACAAGCAGAACAAAATCCAAAATCCATTCCTCCTTTCTCTCCCCACTGCTACTGTGCTAGCTTGTACCCATACTGCTTTTGAAATTTTTATTTGAACTAATGCAAAATCTTCCTCAAGGATCTCTGCTTCCAACTTTTCCCAGTTCCAGTCCAACTCTACAAGAAGAGATCTAGTATCACTCATTCACCCAGAGACTTTTGCCAAGAAGACACTCCAGAGTTTCCTGTAACCTTTCTCCCTCATCACCCAGCCACTGATCCTTGTGTCCCTCTTACACTTTCCTCCCACGCACCTTCTCCCCAGCTGTTCTATGTGCTCGGAATCCTCCTTACTCTTCCTGAGCCTTCTTATTTTCCCCCTTGTAAAATCTGGTGGTTTTCTTAAGGAATGTCTCAAAGGCCGCCCATGTGCATCCCTTTAAAAGTGGCATTTTACCCTATTCACTAAGTGTCACAGGCCCCGGCATACCCACCCACCTAATGTACCAAACGGCTCTGGTGACAAATAGCTTAGTTTACAAATGTGCTCCAGTATTTAAGCTACCTGCAGTGTCTAAATAAATGAAAAGAAACCCAGGTAAACATGGCTGTCACATTAGCTTCCCATTTAAACATAATTCAGACTTGATGAAGTAATTCTGTGGCATATCGAATTTTCTAAAAGGAGTTTTTAAAAGTCTTCCAAATGAGTCATTAAGAGAGTCCTTCCCATTCAGTAAGCCTCAGTTCTGCAGAAAACCTTTTTTGTCTAGTTCCTGTGAATCGGTTGAGAGTAGAAAAATCAGCTCGAGTGTTTCAAATGTATCAAGTGGGACCAGCACCCTTCAATCATTGCTTTACATAAACCTGAAATAAAATCACATCAATATTTTGAATTGGCAATAGAATTAGGTAGAAAGTTTGTTATGGCATAAAAATCTTTTGATATGAAGGATTTAGTTAAGCCATTTTGATTCTTACAAGATCCCTGAGACATCTGTTCAACTTTATATCTGAAAGTAAATGTAAACAAGCATTTAAATTTCCATGTAAAAAGCAGTAGAAAGTGTGTTTATGGAGACACTTGTCTTACACTATAGACTTTAATTACTTAAGAGCAATGGTCTGTACCTAACAGTCTTCTAAGTGCCCTTCTAGGTAGTATCTGCATTTTTTTAAAACACCATTTTCCTCTCATTTTGGTAGGTTTCTAGGGGAATACAAGTTACTCTAAGAATTGGACCATGTCAGTTTCTGGACCCTGTTTAGTGACAGTGTAGGAGCACGGTTTAGTAAATGACATACACAGTGTGCTGACTTGGTCATTAAGCCCACTCAGAAAGCCAAGTCAGGACAGGGGCATAGCTTCATAAGGGTGCTGGCCCAGCATACTCAAGACCCTGGGCTCCATTCCACAAAAATAAATAAGCAAAAAGTAGGAAAAAGTCAGGTCAGTTTTCCAAAAATTGGGAATAGTTTTCATCAGAAAAACACTGGACAGAGCCTAAGTTTCCGATGACAGAACAGGAGCTCAGTCAACTTGTGAAGCTGAGGCCGGAAGTCCCTCTCTACCAAAGAGAATGGAACTGGGGTTTGAGGAAGGTGACCCTGCAATGTATCATCCCAACCGGGACGCTTTTGAGAAGAAAGGCAACACAAGCCAGGGGGGATGTTGGCACAAGAGGAGCAAACGCCGACCGTCCTAGGCAAGCAGGGCCATGCGGTCACTCTGGGTTTGGGGCAGCTCCAAGGCCTGAAGTGTTTGTACACACACACCCGCCTTGGGAGGAAGGGCTGCCATATCCAGCACCCAGAGGGAGGCTGGTTGCCCTTTAGCCCTCCTGGCCATCTGGGTGTCTCCTTGTCACTCTCAGGCACAGCATGCTCTTTGCTACTAGAATCTCAGTGCCTTCTCTTCCCCCACCCTGAAAGCTCTCTTTTTATCTGCTACCTAACTACACGCGGAGCTAGAGTTCATCAAAGTGCTTTCTGGGTTTCTGGGCCCAGGAATCTGCTTTTTCCACCAGCCTCCCCCTACCTTCAGGCCAGAATCTTTTGCTCTAGGTTGTAGCATATAAGCTAAAAACTCATACTGTCGACTCCTCTGCCTTTAATTCAGTGCAAGGGTTTGGGGGCGGGGTACTCTCCCTGTTGGCTGCACAGAAGGAACATTTATCCTATATGGATATTGACAACCTCACCTCTGACTTCCTTTTCTGTGCCATATGTGTTGTCTCCTAGACAGACCTTTCTGCATTCTCTCAAGAGCCCGTGCTTAACTCATACCAAATTAATGACCACAGAGAGGGGTCATAGCAGAACTACCTTTGGCTCCGACTGTGGGTCATTATGAGTACAGGACACTTTTCTTCATCTCTTTCTCTTTCTCCTTTTCCTCCCCTCCTCCTCCCCACCTCCTCCCCATCCCACCCCCCAATGCTGGGGATTGAACCAGAGCCTCACACGTGCTAGGCAAACACTCTTCCATTGGGCACCACCCTCAGCCTGTGCTAGACCTTCTTGGGGAAGCAAGTAGGTACAGAAGGTGGTGTGCTTTCTGTCCTGAAGAAAGTTAAAAATGAGCTCTGGATACAAAGGATATGTGTAACAAAGAGTCTAGAGCCAGTCTACCTGGGTTCAAATCCCAGCTCTGCTACTCACTCAACCAAGACCCTCGACCTTACTGTATCTTAGATCTTATCCACAAATAAGGATAATAATGGTTTCTGGTCCCTCATTCCTTCATTTAACCCAAAGGCCTTGTGCAGAGCACTCCTGGTACTGGGTGTGGTGGACAGGTAGGTGTTGAGCCAGCTTTAGTGTGGACGTTTCCTGCTGCCAAGGGCAGCTTCCTCCAACCCGTTCAGAGCAGATGACATTTTCAGAATTTTGAATTTCTGCAGTCTACTCAGTGTGCAAGAGCAAATTTACTCTTCAAGAGGAGGAAACAATTCAGCTTTGACAACACAGCTATAACTCCAGGGTCTGATCCAAGTTGGCAAGATGGGCAAAGGAACAGAAAATAGTCCCCTGGAGGGCAAAAAAATTCTCTATGGAGACTGAGAAGGCAATAGCCCCAGTACTGGATTCAGAGAACAAAGACGCATTAGCAGGTGATAGGAACAAGTCTGAGTTCTTGAAAGAAAGGCAGGGCCTTATGTTGGACAACATAAAGGAGACGCTTAGAAATAACATAAGGGACGTTTTAGAAACAAAACTCATGATACTTGAAGTGAAAAAATTCAGAGAACCCCAATCACAGGAAAGAGTTGTGCAAAGTAAAAGATTTAGCGTCACCAAAAACAGAGTTGGTGAAGAAAATAGAAGACTCTAAAATAAGTGAGGATACTGAAAGCTTGGCCTTTAAAAGAAAACTAGATGAGCTGAGTAGCAAAGTAGACAAAGCTAAAAATCACAATGGGGGCCCAGGTAAGAAGTTACCTCAAAATTACAAAATAAAAAAAGGGAGGTGCCGCATGCAGTAATGACAACAGATGGCAAAATCATGATGCCCAGATAGAAATTCCAGAGAGAGAAGACGGAATGGAGAGTGGAGCCCCCAAGAGAGATAGGAGAGAGAGAAAAAAACCCTGAGAACCTGAAGAATAAAGGCGAAGAAAAACTGCTGACAGATGACAGGGCCTTCCTGACCCTTACTGCAGACTTCTTGCTGGCAACACTGGAAGTCAGCAAGCAGTGGGGTCAGATCTTCAACATTTGGGGAGGAAATGATTTTTACCCTAAATTTTTATGCAAGATTGAATTAGCACTTAAATGTGAAGGTGAAATAGAGAGATTTTTAGACCTGAAGAGCCTCAGAAAATTTACCAGCCAAAAGGCTTTTACAAAAGATTTGCTGAAAGATGTCCTTCCACAGAATGCAAACTAACAATGAGGAAGAAGAAACTATGGGACACAAAGAGAAAGGGATTAACTGATAAAAGCCTCTGGAGACCCAGCAGGCAATTGCTTGAACTTCCTGTCCATTCAAGAGGTGAAGGTGGATAGGTCAGAGGAGAGGAGCTCAGTGCCTTTGGGATGGAAAGGCAAAGAAAGACCCAAGATAGAGAAGCAGGATGCCTTGTGGCTAGAGGAGGAAGGGAAGACAGAGGGAGAAGAAAACTCAGGGAAAGAAGAGGAGGGAGAAGGAAACTGAGATGGAGGAGGAGCAGGAGGAAGAAAACTCAGGAATGGAAGAAGAGGAAGAGAAAGAGCAGCAGCAGAAGGGAGAAGGAAACCAAAGCACCAAGTGAGAGGAGGTCTCAGTGCTGCGTGAAGAACTTGCCTGTGGGTGTTTGGCTGGGGAGAAGGACAAAATGAAGCCGCAGGAGGCACACAACACCGAGGAAGTGGAAACAGCTAATTCTAAGGAAGTCAAGGAATTGAGATGTCCTGTCTGACCTTGAATTTGACCTCTCTCTCAAACTCACTAGAGAGAAGTTCTGATGAGCATGAGAGTGTTCATGCACAAATCTGAGTACTACATCAGGAACTGCAGAGTTTTTAGGGAAAAGAGAGGAAGAGAGACACACAGCCCTGCAAATAGAAGAGTTGACACACAAAGAAGCAGAGTTAATCCGGGAAACGGAAGAAAACTTCAGAAGAGTGATCAAAAAGGATATTTGAGAATATAAGGAAATACGATCCAGATGTCTTGGAAAGTTTAACATTCAGTAGATGATCTGCACAGCAGTGTAGATATACTCAGGGAGAGAATGCATAATCGAGATGACCAAATGGAAGAAATATCTAAGGAGACAATGAAAATGTCTAAGCGCCTAATGAATAAAAAACTATGAGCCAAAGACCACAGATAAAGAACCTCCAATACCCGTTTGACAGTAGTTCCAGGAAAAGATACAGAAGAGGACAGGGGTTACAAGGACAGTAATTGAAGAAAAATTTTCAGAGCTAACGATGCACTCAAGTCTTGAGGTGGTCGGTACTCACTGCAGCCTCAGCATGGTCTATGAGAGGAGACTCACTTCTAGACACATCTTGGTGACGTCCTGGAGTTCCAGTGAGAAAGAGAAAATCCTGAAGGCTTCCTGAGAGAGAAGAGAAATCACCTACAGTGGAATAAGAGTCCTGCTGACCTCAGACTTATTGCTGAGCATGCTGGATGACAGAAGTCAGTGGGGCAATATCCTAAGACCCCTGCAGGAGAAGGGCTTCTAGCCTCAAATCCAGTGTTCAGCCAAATGGATGTTTGATTTTGGAGGGAAAAACAAAGACACTTTTTAATATTAGTGAATTCAAGAAGTTTATTTCAAGGTGTCTCCTCTTTGGAAGAATTACTAGAGAATTTACCTTAGCAACCTAGGTTGGTGACAACAAGTTACAAAATGTACTTTTCCCCTCACCACCAAAATCTAAAAAGCCAATGAGTAAAACATCACATCTCTATTCTGGAAGGGTGACCAACCAACAGCTCTTTTTGGAGATGCGGGAAAGGAACCTTATTACCTAGATACTGTTAAGGATATATTTAAGAAATTAATGACCATCAAGCCAGGCATGGTGACACCTGTTTGTAATCCTAGCACTTGGGAGGCTGAGGCAGGAGGATCACTGTTAGTTTGAGGACTTATAGTGAGACACTGTCTCAAAAAACCAAAAACAAAACAAAAACCCCAAAATGAATGAGGACCATCATAGCTTGAATAGGAGTTTGTTTGTTTGTTTGTTTGAAACTGGAGTGTGAGCCCAGGGCTTTCACACTGAGCTACATTTCTGGCCCTTTTCATTTTTTAAATTATGAGATGAGTCCCATTGGGTTGCCAGGGCTGGTGTCAAACTCATGATCCTCCTCCTTGGCCTCCTGAATAGTTGGGATCCCAGCTCAAGAGGAAGGTGTGTCATCATCTGCACAGTGAGAAGCTTTACAAGAAAACTTTTTCATTTGAAAAAAAATAAGGATAATAATAGTTTCAGCCTCAGAGCTTCCTGTGAAGAGTGAGTTAAAAGTTGAGTTAAAAAGTTGGTGTAAACCAAAGCTGAGGGGGGCGTGGCTCAGCGGTAGACCTGGATTCCATCCCAGCACTACACAAACAAAAACAAGCAAAAAATTAGACCTCACCCATTCCCCCTTTATCATCCACAGGCAACTCGGTCTGACTTGACCGTCCAGGACGATATTGTGTCCTCGCAGTCCTGCCTTCACTAGTTGGTCTTCTGCTGCAGGGAAGGCCAGTCCCTTCTCCCCATTTATTCCCTCTCCCCTCAGTCAGTCAGTCACACTAATGTGAACCAATCTGTTCCTTTTCTCGATGGGTTGTGACCGCTGATAATATTTTAATGCTCAGGTGATCCCAGGTCTGGTCAGTGGGCGCCTCTTCAAGATGTCCTTTGACAAATCCTTATCATTCTCTGAGCCTGTCTTGAATTTCTAGCACACGGTGTTTCAGAGCCTGCCTTCGGAGCACTTTTACTGAAGGATGATGCTTAGAAACCAAGGTCTAGGCCTTCAGGGAGCTCCGTTCCTGCTGGCTGTCATTGCTTCAGGTCCTTTCTGTGGGTAGAGCTAGAAAATAAATGCATTTTCCGGCATGTACCAATGCAGGTATAAGTCTGTGACCATTTTATGTATGCAAGCGTGCACCTAAAACATTGAAATGCATGAGTTCATGTTGACCTCCAATTACAATTGAACATTTCAGTGTTATTTCTAACCATTCCCCTTTGCAACTCACGTCTGGCCATGATTCCATTATCCTCAGTGTATTCATATTTGTGCCCAATTTTCTAATTTTCTCTGTGTAACCAGTCTCCCAGGGACAACAGCACCTCCTTCTCTGCAGAATCCCCATGGCTGCCTCTGTGAGCCCTGAACGCAGTGCTCCACGGGGTCCTCTCCTCCCTGCCATTCCATGCCCTGGCCTCGCGGCTTGCTGACACATCTGTGTCCCTGTCCCCTCTGCCCTGTTTCCTTATTGTGCAGGCCACATGGAGACCCAGGGGTGGAGAAGCAGGGAAAGAGAGCTCTGTACTCCGCTTGGCTCCTAATTTCTAGACTGTTTCACTGTCTTGGTGCCAACACTCTAATAGGATCGTTACTCTCTGTGTCTCAATTTCTATTGTTGCTTGCAAGACACCTCGCAGGCCTGCAATTAGTACGCGCAGGGCCCACTCAAATGCCGCCATCTGAAAGCCCAACGTGACAGAGGAATGTGCATTAAAGGACTTCAATTAAGTGTGTAGATGGAGTAGCACACAAAGGTTTTAGAAGACCTGATGTTAAACATCTTTATAATAGTTTCTTAATTAATTGAAAACATCCTTATTCCCAACAGGAGTTGTATATCCTAGTTGGGTCAAAGTGAAGAGTAAATTACATATTCTATAACTACTTAATAAGCTCTTTCTTCTTACCTTTGGCATGTGCTAATGGGAGGGAGCTAAATGCCATCCGCACAAGGAATGTAATTTAACATTCTTCCCTAAAAATACTGACCTCCCAGGAGAGAAGGTTTGGATGTGCTTAATGATCAGGGTGTCTTATTCTCACTGATTATGTTTTGATTTATTTCTGTATAACAGAACCCAGTCTTTGAAATTCAAGAGCAGCAGGAAGATGTCGTGAAACCAAAGTCTGGTTATAGTAATTTCAAGATGCTAAGAAAGGTAAACTATTTCTTATTTCACAAAACAGAGTTATGAGTAATAGCATTCTTCTTCTGTAGAAAAAAATACCAATTTGTTTAGAAAACTCACCTTTCTTGTTCCTTTCATCTAAGAATACACCTGTACTGACTTTAGCTAAGTTATCATTTGCTTATGAGAATAGCTATGTCTTTACTTCCTGTTGTATCTGTATAGGAGCAGCCAAGAGCTTCACTTGTCTGGTTGGTTTTCGTCTTTTGTTTTTGATACTGGGGATCAAACTCACAGGTGCTCTGCCACTGAGCTACCATCCCAGCCCCATTTAATTTTAAAATTTTGAACCAGCATCTCACTAAGTTGCCCAGGTGAGACTTGAACTCTGATCCTCCTACCTCAGTCTTCTGAAGTCCAAGAATTATATGAATCCTTTGGGATGTCTCAGCTCTCCCTGAGCACAGAGCTTCATTCACCATAATTCCCGGCATGGCTTCCTACTGAAAGGCTGTTTGGAGGAGGAGGTTATGTGGTTTATGTTACAGATGGACGAACAAGCAGGCAGAGGATGGGACATGCTCAGCACTGTCTGCGGCCCATGTTTGGACACACTTGGGTTATAACAAAAAATGTTTCTGAAATACAGGAAATTTTGTTGCTTACATACGTTAACTATATTATCTATTTTATATTTAGTCCAAGACCATTCCTCTTCCTTCAGTGCATTCCAGGCAACCCAGGCACATCCAACCCACAGTAACGGAGGGGGAGGAAAAACAACCAGAGTGATAAGATAACTCCCCCCAGCGTTCCTCTCCCGGTATTGCAGAAAGGCTTGGGCCATCTGTTCACAGCAGATACCACAGGCTGCCTTGCTGATGGTTCCTTTGCACAAGGCATGCTTTCTGGTGACCGTTCGCACATTAAAACTACAGTGCAGAAATCAGCACAGTTGGAAGTAGGCTGACATATAGGCAAATGGGTAGCTGGAGCTTGCCCAAGTGGAGTGAAAAACATCTTTGAACCTGGATGCCTTTTTGATATTTTATTATAAGCTATTTATGCATTTGAAAAAGAACAAACAACTCTATAATGAGAAGGTGAATTCCAACTCCAAGAGATTAAAACACAACTTGTTGCTAAATCTGTTGAAGACCCCAAAGTGTCCTTCTGAGATCACATTCACTTTCCTTCCTTCTCCGCAAGGTAACCATTCCTGAATTTCTTATTCTTTCCCTCTGATTTACAGTATCCATTTAGGTTAGTTTTTTTATTTAAGTGGTAATCATAGTCTAAGTTTTTTTTTTTTCCTGAGACTTCCCTTTATTGTTCAGCACTAAAAATTCATGTGGGTTTCATCCAATATTTGTAGCTCTGGCTAATTCATTTTTCACTGCTGAACAGGATTATTGTCAAAACACACTTATTAATTCTGCATTTGTTAGATATGTGAATTATTTCCAAGTTTTTTGGGTTTTTGTTTTCTGGTGCTGGGTGTTCTCTCCCTGGAACATAATAGTCATCCTTAGCCCTCTATGTTTCCCTATCACCATTATTAATGTTCTAGAAACTTTGTGGTACATAACCTGGGGAGTGCATGTGAAAGAATTTTGTAATTGCATGAATGTACCTAAGCACAGAACTGCTGAACTGAAGGGTATGCATGTGAGAGATCGACCTAAAATACCCTACAAAGTGATCCTGTTATTTATGTCCCTACCAACAATATATTAAGAGCTATGTTGTTCTAAGTCTCCAAAATTTAGTATTGCCAAACTTATTTTTTGTCAATATGATGAGTGTAAATGGTATTTCATGAGTGTAATTTGTATTTCTACTATTACTAATAAGATGTGACATCTTTGCACACATTTATTGGTTATTTGTATTTTCTTCTCTGTGCAATGCCTGTTCATGGCTCTTGCCCATTTTTATACACTGCTTATTTTTTTCTTTTAAATTTATTGATGTCTTTATACTCTGTGGATACCAAGCCTTTGTTAGTGACATATCTAGCACTTGTGTTCCAGTAGTCTTTTCACTCTCTTCTTGGTGCTTTAAAAAAATTTTTTGGGGGGGTAATTTTATTTCAAAATAATTTAACCCTTGGAAAATTTCTAGAGAATTCCTATATGGTCTTCACTCAGATTCACCAACTGTTAAAATTTCCCCACATTTGTTTATACTTTGTTCTATCTTTTCTTCTGAAGTAGAGATAAATTTTAGACGTCATGATTTTTAGCCTTCCTCCAAAATTTCAATTTGTATTTCCTTAGAATAAAAACATAAAGACATCCACTTATAACCACTTGCCTCACAAGTGCAAGGTCCCAAGTTTGATCCCTGATACAAAAACAAAAAGACTCACTTATATACACAAAGTAACAGTAATGAGAATCAAAATTTTTATGACAAAATTCATGCAACATAAAAACAGGTCAACTACAGTGCATTCAAAATGCTGTGAAATCACCATGTCTATCTTGGTTCCAAAACATTTTTTAAATGACTTGTTTGATTTTTGAAATTTGATGTACTATAAGTAGAGGTTGATAAAGAAAATAAAGGAAATATACTCGGAAAATATGCAGTCTTCTTACTAATATAAAAAAAGCTCATAGCAAAATAATTAGAGAATAACAATGGTTAATATACTGTGTATCATGATCTTAAAAAGAATGGCCAAAATGTTGCTCAGAGGATGAATTAAAACAAAACAAAAAAAAGATTCTGTTTTGCAAAGAAGAACCAAACAAACAAAAAGGACTACTTTCTTTTCAAGGAACAAAGGAAACTGGTAGTATGAATGAAACAAATTGGCATTGATCTTAAAATGTTTTTGAAGCAACAAAATAGATAATTTGGCTTCTCCTTATTTCGTATTTGTCTATTAGAGAAATACAAATTAAAACTACACGGAGATACCATCTTAACCCAGAAAGAAGGGCCATCGTGAAAAAATCAAGTAATAGCAAGTGCTGGTGAGGATGCAGGGGAAAAGGAACTCTTGTGCACTGATGTCAGGAATGTAAACTGGTGCAGCCACTGTGGAAATCAGTGTGGAGAGTCCTCAAAAAACTAAACATAGAATTCCATATGATCCAGCTACCTTCCTCCTAGGTATCTTCCCAAGAGAGTTAAAGTCATCGTATTTCAGGGATCCCTCCATCGGAGGAGGGACCCTAAGTTGCTTCTGTGTCTTGGATATTGTGAATTGTGCCCCGGTAACTCTTGTGTGAAAACGAGTACTTGACTGCAGGGCTCTCGGATATGGCCCTAGGAGCAGAAAGGCCGAATCACGCGCTACTTCTATTTTTAACTTTTTGGGGAGCTGCCAACGTTTTCCACAAGGGCAACACCGCCTTACACCCTCATCCTAGTGTAGGAGGGCTCCAACTGCCCTACATCCTCACCGACATTTGTTTCCTTTAAAAAAAAAAATGAGCCGTTCTAGTAGGCATAAAGTGGTATCTCCTTGTGGATTTGATTCCCATTACCCTCCTGATTAATGATGTTAAATATCTTCCCAGACGCTTGTTGTCCACGCACACAGCTTCTCTGGAGCAATGTCTTTCAAGTCCTTCCGTTGGTTTTAGAGGCCAGTGCTGTATCCGTTAGGCTTACTGGGGCTTCTTATTTGTCCAATTTGAGACCATGTTTTGTTTTGCTGTTTGGGTTGGATTGGGTTGGGTTGGGCTAGGTTGGGTTTTCTTTTATTTTTCGAAATATTAAGGATTGAAGCTCCCAGGGCATTGTACATGCCGGGAAAGCAGTCTAGTATTGATGTATACCCCCAGCCCTTTTTATTTTTTATTCTGAGGCAAGGTCTCTGGTTACCCAGGCGGGGCTCCCTTTTGGGATCCCTGTACCAAGTAGCTGGGACTACGAGCGTGCACCAGAGCACCCAGTGTCATCCATCTTTCTGTTGTTGAGTTCTTTGCATATTCTGAATAACACATTTATCAGAATGTGACCTGTTCTGTACGTTGCCTTTGTACATTCTTGGTATTGTCTTTTGATGCAGAAATTTGACTGGTGCGTCTTGGCCTGGATTTCTTTTGGTTTACACTATTGGAATTCACTTAGCTTCTTGAATCTGAAGATCTGTGTCTTTTGCCAAGTGTGGGACACTTTTGGCCGTCATTTCTTCAAATCCTTTTTCAGCCCCATTTCAAGTCCTTCTGGCGACTCTCCTGATACAAACGTCAGGTCAGACCTCCCTGCCTCGGTCCGTTTTCTCTCTCTTCTCTCTCGTTCAGTGTGGATGCTTTGTTTTCATTATTTCGTCAAATTCGCTGATTCTTTATCTTCTCCATTCTACCACTGATCCCATCTATGGAGAGATGGGGGGGCTGTTGTTTGGTTGTACTATTTTCAGTTCTAAAATGAACTGTACACTTAGTTTTTCTCTATACATTCTATTTCTCTGCAGCGGGTTTTTGCTGTGTTTTTTTGTTCCCTTGTTTCCAGTATGTTCATACTGTTCGCCGAAGCGTTTTATGATCACTGCTTTAAACTCCCAGTGGTGCTTATGTCTGTGGGGTGGTCTTTGCTTTACAAGCCTCCGGGTCTTACGTAAGCTTTCGGTGTTTGGCAGACATGCTAGGACTCCACCCTACCGGGAGAAGAGAGCCCGCGGCCCTGGCTGTCAGGTAGGGGACCCCAAGTTCTGCGGGCAGGGGGCGGTGGGCGGACATCTGGAGCAGGACTCTTGTCACCCAACAGTCTCCCTAGGCTGCTCGCTTCTTTCCCTTGGCCTTCCTAGGGGCTTTTTGGGTTTGTTCGTTTGTTTTGGTACCGGGGGGTCGAAATAGGCACCTTGCGCTTGGAACCACTGAGCTAAACCACCAGCCCAAACCTCTTTTTTTGAGACACGGTCTTGCTGTGCTGCCCAGCGGGTCCCAAATTTGCAGTCCTCCCTCCTCGCTGCTCAGCCTCCCAGGCCTGGGCTTATCGCCCTGCACGTTCGCGTACAACTTCTCAGACTTCTTCAGTACCAGACTTAGTGAGCGTTAATAGCAGGCATTCTTTCCTTGGTACTGATTTTAAAGGAAATACTTTCAATAATTCCCCCTTTAGTGCAGAAGCGCCGCGCGAGTGTGAGCAGGGCTGGCAGAATCTCCTGACGGTGGCTTCGCGGCTTTCCTGTCGGGACCCAGGGAGGCGAACTACTGCCTTTCCCCGGGTGCCACTCACCTCTACTGCGCTGTTGCTTTAATGAACCCCAGTGTATTTTAGCTCCATTGTGACTGCTGTTTATGGAGAAAATACTATTATAACAGTGTTCAAGGTAAGTTTTTAAAGGTGAAATATAAATCAACTACAAATATACTACTTGACACAAAAACTGCTTTTGTGTTGATTTCTCTCTAGTGGTTTTTTCTTTTTTCCTTTTTGTGGGGGAGAGCAGTACTGTGGATGAAACCCCAGCCTTGTGCATTCCAGGCAAGCACTGTGTCACTGAACCACACTCACTCCTAGGCCGTTTTATTTCTATTTTGAGACAGGGTCTTAGAAAGTTGAACATGTTGGCCTGGACCTTGTGATTCTCCTGCCTCAGCCTCCCTACTAGCTGATGGGTGTGACCCATCCCTCCCAGATCCCTCTAGTCTTTGTTTCTGTGCCTCTCCAGTATCTGTGCTTATCCAATTTTGTACCATGCCTACTGTTTCACAGTGTTCACTGTTTTCCTTTACACAGTCTTCATAACATTACAGGGGACGCAGACTGGGGGTGTGTGATTAATCCAGTTTGAAAATAAAAATGTCCACCTTTCACATACTCTTGGAGAACTCCACAGATGAATGATAGCAAAGAAGACAAATCATAGAAGAAGGAGATAGCCAGGTGCAATGGCTCTTGCTGTAGTCCCAGATATTCAGGAGGCTGAGGCAGGAGGATTGCTTGAGCCCAAGAGGTCAGGACCATTCTGAGCAACATTGTGAGGCCTTGCCTCAAAAAAAGAAGAGAAGAAAGGGATGGAGGGAGGGAGTCGGGGGAGATCTAAACCTCCTTAGGATAGGAGGAAAGAGGAGGGAAGGGATATTTCTTGCTAAAGAGCCCTGAAAACCTATAATTTGATTTTGCAGAAGACTTCTACTGCAAATGCTTTATTTAACATATCTATTTTTAAATTTGAGAAAATTAAAAAGAAGTGACATGTGAGGGCAGTGCGGGGGTTCACTGCACTCTTGTGTACTTTTGTGTGCGTTTTAAATTTTCCATAAATAAAAATTTTTAAAACAGAACTTGCTTAATGAAAGCTTTTCCTGGCCCCTTGGGAACAGCTGGAGCAGCTCTTGGTGGCCGCGGGGGCCCCGTGGGGAGCGCTGAGTCCTCCTCCCCAGCCGCCTGAGATGGGGTGCCCTGGGCCACAGCGCAGGGGCCTTCTCGGGCATCTGGAAGCCACCCCAGGGCTTCATGAGGACGAGGTGGGAGGGGAGGCTGCCGAGTGCCAGGCCCCACCCCGGCCGGATGCTCCTAGGATCCAGGGGTCCCCAGGACGTGCACGTGCCCCTGCCGTCCCCCCCTCCACTCCCAGGCCAGGCCCTCTATATCCAGTCCCGGTCAGATGCGTCCCTTCCTGTGAGTGCTGGTGTCAGCACCCTCTCAGCCCTTCCCGTCCCCAGGGGTCCCTGCCAGCAGACCCTGGAGGATGACAAGGCCTAAACCTTATATTTCAATCGATAATAAAAAAGGAAAACCAGACTATGAGGAAAATTAGTAACATGAAATTAATAAGGATCACTATCACAATCATTCGTGTTTACTGAATGCTAACGCTATGCCAGATGTTTTAATCACCACGCATGTGTGAAATCACTTAATCTTTATAGCTCCTTTGCACAGAGAGGAAACCAAGTGCTATCCCTTTTTACTTTATTTAAACAACAACAACAACAACAACAACAACAACACTAAATACGTTTTTTTAGAAGAATAAAAAACCATGAATGGGGGCTGGAGATTTTGCTCAGTGGTGCTGTGCCTGCCTGGCAAGCTTAAGGTCCTGAGTTCCATCCCTAGTACAAAAAATAAACATGATTTTTCTCCTACTTCTCTTATAGAGAAGTACTTTAAATTATTTCACTTTCTAAATTATTTTCTAGCCCTTGTTCAGTCAACATGATTTTTAGTTTCATTTTGATTCTATTCTTTTGTGTGTGTGTGTGTGTGTGTGTGTGTGTGTGTGTTTGTGTGGTACTGGGGAGTGAACCGAGGGCCTTTACACTGAGCCATGTCCTCAGGCTTTTTCTACATTTTATTTTAAGACAAGGTCTTGCTGAGTTGCTAAGTTGCCCAGGCTATGGTCGAATTCAAGATCCTCCTGCCTCAGCCTCCCAGAGTGCTAGGACTACAGACTTGTGCCACTAAGGCCAGCTCAACATATTTTAAAAAATAACTTTCTTCTTTGCCTAAAAATAACACATGCTCATAAAAAAATAAATAAATAAAAAAATTTAAAAAAAGCTCCAGGCCATAAACAACTAAAATAAGAGAGCAAACTAGGGAGTTGATACTTAAGAACCGGATGCTGTTTTCGCCTGGGCCCTGTCAGGCCTGCATCTGTTACTGTCACATGAGTCACAGAAGTAAAATATTTCATGGACTCTGATGTTCTTGCTAATTACTGAAGAAAAGCGAACGTGAAGTTTGTGTTATGAGGGCTCAAACCATCCGATGTGCCAAAAACTGATCAGTCCTCAGAATAGGTGCTTTTATTTCTAGAATAAAAACCAAGGTCTTTCGTACAAGGCATCGGAAATGATTGACATTTTCTTTGTGTTTATCAGAGACCCAGGGCTCCCAGCACTAAAACAAGAGCTCCAGACCTCTTCGGCCTGTGTGCGAAGCCTCCCAAAGGGAAAAGGTAGGTAACGTAGGCGAGCACAGCAGGAAGTCGGAAGTAACACTGTATTCTGCAACTCCTGTGGAAAATGTTATTCAGATTTCTGTGAAGGGTTTGAGCCCTAAAGAATCTGTTGAGAAGGAGAAAGACTTGTGAGGGTGCATAATTCCAAAGCCCACAGGGCCTCAGGAGTCTCTAGAGGTAAGGAAATTGGCCTGGTGTGGGGGTGTCCACAATCTGAGACCCGAGTCCAGGTTTCCTAATCCGCAGCATTCGGAAATGCTCTTTCCTGTTCCTATCTTGGGAGATGGGCATGTGGGGAGCATATATTTGAAATAGAGTCCCGACAGGTCATTTTATTAGTCAGAAAGTAAAGTGGGGCTGGGGATATCAGTGGTAAAGGGACCAGGCCCGCCAAATCCAACTTCCTAGAAAGCCCCGACCTTCTGAAATGGATGTTAGCAGGTTTTGCAGGATTAGAGTAGTAGAAACTTTCAGCTAGTAGCTATCTTTTTGCTCCTTTAAATACAGATTTTAAATAAGGAAATTTAAAAGCTGTCTGAGTCCGGCTTTGCATCAGCCTGGAGAGGTTCCGATGGTGGGTAGTGACAGTAGGAGCAGTGGCTTCTGGACTGGGAGCCGTCACAGCCGCTTGTCAGTGTCACTTGTGGAAGTTGGCACGGGGCCCATCCGGGGCTGTAGAGAAAGCCACGCTGGGGTCGCTTCTTCAGACTTTGGGGTCCACATACCTCCTTCCAGGGGTGCTCAGGAAGTAGCTGTGCACACCCCTGAAAGCCTTCATGTTCCCACAGGTGTCCTGCCAGAACACGGAACAGCAGGATCCGATGTAGGACTGTCCCCCAAGAGAAGGAGCCCTGTGTCGGGGGCCTGGTGGGCATCAGGGGCCTGTTCCCCCTGTGCCTGAGGCTTGCTGTCCTCGGCATCTTCATCATCGTGGTGTTTGTCTACATCACCATGGAGAAGAAGTCGTTCTTCGGTTAGGCACCTGAGGAGCAAAGCCAGGCCTCGGGCTCACCAGGGAGGAGCCCGGAGTTAGCGGAAGGGGTCACCACTCCCGGACCTGGCAGCCCCTGGCCCTGTGCTGGGCGGATGCAGCCAGACCTGGGCTCAGCCAGGCGCGAGAGAGAACCAGGCCGCTGTGAAGACAGTGCAAGTCAGCAAATCCCCTAGTAGTGTCAGTCGCCGTTACAGGCTCTTTCCACGTCAAGCAGACTGCCAAAGTAACAGCCAGGTGTGTTTCTCTTCTTTTCTCTCTCTCCTTCTCCCCTTCACCTTCCTTTCTTTTTTCTCTCCAAACAAAAGATTTTACATTTTTATTCCTGAGCCAGCCTACTCATGCAGAGAACAGAAACAAAGAGGAAATTAGATTTTCAATAAAACACATCCAGAGGGCCAGACCGTGGTGACCTCCACAGCTTGGTGGGGCAAAAAGGCAGCGACACTGCTGCAGCCTAAATGTGAGACTCTGGGCGCCGCCCCTCGGACACCTGGCTTGTTCCTCTTTGCTAAGCTGTTTTTTACCCGCATCCACTGGGGAACAGGATGCATTTCCTTTGTTTCCTGGCCGGGAATTGCTTGATCCTGAATCTTGCGAGGGTGGAGGAATAGTCAGTGACCTTCTGGTCATGGTGGAGGGGAGAGTGGGTTAGCTAGAGTGACAAGTTGGAGGCCTCTGTTTATTAACCCTCCAAACCATACAGACAACCCGGAGAAGGGCTACGAGGGTCTGGCTCCTGGATGCTCACAGCAGGCCTGAGCCCTGGCTTCAATCTCTAGCACAAAGCACAACACCAAAGTAGGAACATGGTTAAGCAAACCCAAAGAAATGTGCAGCATCATGCAAACAAGCACTTTTACTGTTGAAACTTAGAAAGGGTCTAAAAAATGAAGGCCTAAGCAGGGAGGGTAACGACTGCAGCCCCTGGCACTGGGCAGAGATGAGTAGGCCCTGGCTCTTCTCTTTCTTGGCTCTGGGAATAGTTGTTTTCAGCGGCAACTTCTGAGAATCGGTACAGAACAGACCTCTCAAGGCAGTGAAGAACTGAAGAAATGGCACATATAAGGTACTTCCTGGGGTTCACGCCTGGGTTGCAGTAAGCAGTCAATAAATACTGAGGCAATGCCGGGTACTGCGCTCTTCCTCAGGGAGGAGCTGGTTCTAGGTTTAGAAGGCTTTGGAGGGCGGGGATTAGCTCAGTGTTTCCGCCACCTGCCTTGCAAGTGAAAGGTCCCAAGTCCCATCCCTGGTACCAGAAAGAAAAAAAGGAAGAAGAAGCTATGGAACCAAGAACGGTGCTGTAGCAGTTTTTGTACCGGTCAAAACAGAGCCTACCCAGGGGGCAGGGATTCAGCTCAGTGGCGCCACGCCTATCTTGCAAGTGCAAGGTCCTGAGTTTGATCCCTGGTACCAGAAAACAAAACAAAATCTACCAGAGCCTACCCAAATATCCAACAATGGGGGAATAGTTTAATAAATGGAATTACAGTTTCCTCATCGTCCTCCTCCTCCTCCTCTTCTCCTCCCCTCCACCTTTTCCCCTCCTCCCACTGATCTCTCCTTTTCCTTCTCTTTTTATGGTACTAGAATTGAACCCACGGCCTCCACACTGAGCTATATATCCTCAGCCCCCTCCTTTTTAAGTTTAGACTTTTTTGTTTTGTTTTGTTTTGCTTTTTTTTGTATCGGGGATTGAACTTGGGTCCTTATGCTTTCAAGGCAAGCAGTGGAACCACTGAGCTAAATCCCCAGCCCTTGTGTTTTTGTTTTGAGACACAATCTAGCTAAGTTGCCAAAGCTGGGATCCTCAAGCTTTCAAACTTCCTGCCTCAGCTTCCCAGAGTCCATGGGATTACAGGAGTACACTACCACACATGAATAGGAAGTGTATAGCTTCTTGATAGATGATTTTACAATAATTTAAAACATTATCTGGATTTGATGGTACACGCCTATAATCCCAGCACTCAGAAGCCTGAGGCAGCAGGATTGCTGTGAGTTTGAGGACAGCCTGGGCTACACAGTGAGTTCAAGGCTGGCTTTAACTATATAGTGAGACCCTGTCTCAAAAAATCCAAAAAAATGCGATCAAGAAAATTTGAAAATGGCTATGTTTTTCATGATATTAAGAGACACTGGTCTCACTGAGCTGCAGCAACTATTCTGTGACCATGAAGTAAGAAGCATAAGAGAAAGAATAAATCAGAGTGACTGGCCTGATACCTCTGAAGTGCCGGAATTAGTTCTGTAGTTCAAGCCACCTTGTTAATATTTAAGGACAGGACATAAGGACTAACTGCAGTTCACCACTAGCTGAATGTAATATATTTAATCCAGAGCATCAAGAAAGACTCTGAAAGTGAGCATTTAGCTTTAACAGCTTCCATATTAGACAAAGAAGAAGAGGACTGGATACAAGAGTAAAGGGAACCAGCCTTCAGAAACCCCTGCTATCCCTGTTCTTAGTAAGATCAAGCATTATTAAAAATAAAACTCTCCTAGAAAGCCCTCAGTATTTCTAGATTTTGCCTTTGTGGGGTTTTTTTGTTTGTTTGTTTTTGTATCAGAACCTGGGGATCCATGTAAAGAAACATTTGTATCTTGTCACTCAAGGTTCTGGTCCCACACCCTCTGAGCAACTCTCTCTCCCCCCTCTCCCCTCCCTCCCTTCTCTTCCCTTGCCCTTTCCTTGTCTCATGCATGCTAGGTAAACAATGCAACCACTGAGCGACACACACCCTCAGCCCCTTTCTTTACACAGAACCTTGAACTTGCAGTCCCACAGGAGTCACCAGGGTTTCAGGCGCCCTCTGCCTGCTGGGACCCTGCCTGCTAACAGGATCCCAGGTGACTCCCATATGCAAGAAAGTTTGAGAAGCTCTGCTATGATCCATCCCTGGCCCAGCAGAAGCAGTCATTTCATTAGAAATGTATATTTGGTCTCTGCCCCTTGTTCCGGGCCCACAGCTCCTAAAACCCTGGGAATGTGGGCTGCAGTGTCTTTAGTATGCTAATGGGCCATGGGGGTGCCCCTGGGCCCCAGGTAGCCTCAGGATGGGAGTGGTCACCCCAGAAGGACTGAGGCAGAATTAGAGGCCAGGCCTTTCAGTCCCACCCCAACCTCCGGGGAAGGGACAGGAGCTAAAGGACAAGTTGGTCACCAGGAGTCAGCGGTGTAATTAGTCATGCTGTGTAACAAACCCTCTGCAGAAACCCGGACGCACAGTGCTTGCTTGGTAGCCAGCCGGGTCCAACACTCGGAGACTTAACCCAACAGGTGTGGGGGCCTGCAGGAAAGCTCCCGCTCCCCGCTGCCCTAAGCATCTGCCCCAGGGACTGTCCATCTGAATCTTTACACCTCAGGAATAAAACAGTAAACAGAAGTAAACATTTCCCTCAGTTCTGGGGGCGGCTGAGCCAATGAATTAAACCCGAGGAGAGACAGGAAGAAACCGTAATTTATAGCCAGCTGCTTTGTGACGGGGAAGGTCTCACATGGCCCAGGTGGACCGCGTGGTGTGGAAGTGAAGAGGAGGACCCCAGCTGCACGCGGGGTGGGAAAATACCCCACTTAGCGGGTCAGAAGCAGCAAGGCTCGAGCAGGAAAGGCCCCCGGTTTCCCCAGTCTATGACACGCTTCACAGGTGTCCCGAGGGCCTTGGTGGTGGGATAAGCGCCGTGGGTGAACCGGTCTGGAAGGGGGAGACTCAACACCTACAAACCGAACCCCTGATGCGCCCCTCTCAGCACATGCAACAAAATGACAAGTAAAATCAGCATGGGATAGTTTTGACTATTGTCAAAAATACAAAAAGGAGGGCCGGGGATTTAGCTCAGTGGTTCCACCACCTGCCTTGCAAGTGCAAGGTCCCAAGTTCAATTCCTCGGTACCAAAAAAAAAAAAAGAATACAAAAAATAAATGCTGGCGAGGATTCGGGAAAAAGGAAGCCTACGCTGCTGAGGGGACTGTGAATTATACAGAGCTATGAAGTCGATATGGAGGCCCCTTAGAAAACTAAACATAAAGCTGCCACATCACCCAGCTTAACGGCTACTTAGAATATGCCCGAAAGAATTAAAGCCAGCACACGGTAGGGACACCGCACGCCCATTTTATTGTGGCACAACTGACAACAGCCAAGGTGCAGAATCAGCCCAGGTGCCTGTCAGCAAATAAATGGATAATGATATCATGGTGTGTCTGCACAGTGGAATATTACTTGGCCGTGAAGAAAGAAATGTCATTTGCAGGAAAATGGATGGATGGATGGAACTGGGGGTCATCTCATTGAGTGAAATAAACCAGAACCAGAAAGAAAAGTATCCCATGTTCTTCCTAATGTGTGGACTCCAAACAATAAACGAGAGATGAAGGTAGAAGGGAGACTGACATTAGACAGGAAGAGGAAGGGAATGCGGCTGGGGTGGGGGATCGCAGGGTGATGTGATCAAAATATGTTACGTGCATGTATGAACACACGAAAAACGCCGCAACCGGTATTTTATACAATTATGATGCGCTAATAAAATGTATATTCAAAAGAAGATACAGTCCTTACTGTCAAGAAACACAGCCTGGAGGAGCAGGGGGAAATCAGCAGACTTCGTGTTACTAAGCGGCTCCTTTTGGAGGTGGCCCAGGCCACCCCGCAGCACCATCCAGGTGTGGGGCTTCCCGGAGCGTGACTCACAGCGCAGCGGGGCAGAAGGCTGTGTGGGATTTGGTCCCAAGGAGGGGGAGGAAGCAGGGCACCGGAAGAGCCTGCCAGCCTCCTGAGCTACCCAGAGGAGCCTGGGGAAGAGGGAAGGGAGGGGCATGGCCACAAAGGAAGGCGGGACACAGATCACCAGGTGCCTGGAGACCACATGAAGGCAAGGATGGTCCTCTTTAGGGAAAATTAGACTTCTCCACAAAGCCAGTAAGTGCAAAAGGAAACTCTTCAGTAACGAGCAGTGTCTACCCCCTGGTTATCCTCAAGTCAGTTTCCGCAGCTTCCTGGTTGCTGTCTAGAGAGGGAAGTCCCCTAAAGAGGCATGGTGCATGTCAGTCATTGCAGCACTCTGGGAGGCTGAGACAGGAGGGTCGCAAGACCCTGTCTAAAAATAAAACAAAGAAAAAGGCTGGGATGTAGCTAAGTGCAAAGGCCCTGGGTTCAAGAGCTGCCACCCAGCTGATCATGACCAAGTGCTGATGCCAGGAAAGCCACTTTCCACTGCCCCTGCCTGAAAGTTCTCCAGAATACAATGACACAAGCTGCGTGTGTGTAACAGATTTGTTTCACCCTTGAAAGGAAATGGAAAATGTAGAGAAATTAAAACGTGGGGAGGAGAGAACCCTGATGCTGGATGCTAAATGAATTCTGCTCAGAATCCCATGCAAAAGAAAAATGCTCCCTTCACAGACACATCAGCACCCCAACACCCCTGCAGGGGCACGCAGGGGTCCGGCTCGGTACTGGTGCAGCTCAGTGCTGCTGGGACTCCATCAAGGGAGAGCATAGCAGGCTGAGACTTCCGCTGGTCCGCTTCTGCCTGCGATCAATGGCACAAGGAACAGGTGGCTCCCAGCCCACCTTCCGCGGCAGGAGGCCCCAGCAGAAGCCATGACATTGAGGTTTGCTGACCTTGGGCCAAATCACATTCCAGGACGCAGCTCTCTCCCCTGCTGCTCTCGGTAATAGGAAGAGATCATCGTAGAGATTTATTTTCTCCTTGTCAAGAGCAAGCTCCTAGCTGTCTAGGGGTTTTAATTTTCCAGGTCTGAAAACCTGGCTCCGTGGTGCAGAGGGGGGTCTTTACCATCTCCCCGGTTCTCCTCAAGGTCAAGCCTGCGCCCTGCTCTGGAAGGAGCCATGGACTGGTCAAACATTTTCCCACGGAACTGAAATTTGAGCCACAAAAGCAACACCCCTGTGGCTCCCTATCTGTCCCTGGTGAAGTCCCTGAGATGCACCAGCTGTGCGAAAGCGGTCTCCAGGCTGCTGTCCCCAGGGTGTCCCGCATCGGGGCCATTCATGTAAAAGTCGCTGTGTCGCTGTTTGTCTGGCGGTGGCCGAAGCAGATTCCGGCTGCCTGCGTGTCAGACGGGGCCCCCGCGAGCCCGGACCCCCCACTCCATCCCGCAGCCCATCCCGCGCCTGCGTTGCTTGCATCTCCGCCAAGCCGGCGTGCTGGCTGCCAGATGGAAGAAATTCTTCGAGGCTCTATTTCTGTTTTTCGACATTCACAGAAATGCTTCTTCGGAATCACTTCTTCCGAATGCCTCGCTGACAACCACGTTATTTCCATCGCCACCATCGTAACTAGAGACGCGTCAGACCACAGCGTTCGCGTGGAGAGCGGCTGACCACGCTGCCATGCCAGGAGGTTACTGACGTTTGGAAGCGCGTCTTTTCTTGCTTTCCCCTCCTTCTCTCTTCTCTGTGCTCATCAACCCACCAAGAAAACCCTTGCTGAGGGGCTCGGGAGGAGCACTTGCTAGCACGAGCCAGGCTCTGGGTTCCATCTCTGGCATCGCCCATCCGCGCACAGGGACGCGCACGCACGCACGTGCACACATAGGGGCACTGATTAGAGTATCGCGAAGGAGCAGATCTTTAAAGTAAAATTAAACCTTACCCCTTACCAAACCAAAAATTTCTCTCAAGACCAAAGTAAGAAAGTGCCTCTGCACTCTGGGAGGCTGAGACAGGAGGGTCACAATTTCAAGCCCAGCCTGGGCAACTTAAGTGATTTAGTGAGACCCTATCTCAACATGAAAAATAATAGAAGGCCTGGGGACGCAGCTCAGTGCAAAGGTGCTGGGTTCAATCCCCAGTGCAACCAACAGAAGAAAGTACCTAACTGACCTGGTGTTGGGTCCTGAGAAAGATTCACGTGGGCACCTGAGTGGAGCGAGAGGGAAGGGAAGTCACTGGCTTGTGTTGAGCAGCACTGGCCTTGCCGGATCTTGCTCCAGGAGCAGTGAGCCCGTTGCGGGCCACCAGGGCCTCAGTGCCACCAGGTATGGGCACGGCCACTCATCCTCCTCCTCCCTCCGGCTGAGCTGCTGAGTGGGGAGGGGAGAAGCGGCAGGCGGGGCAGCCAGCTAGGCTCAGAGCTGCGGACACTGACCCACGGCTCCGGTGGCTGTTTGGGGGTGGTAAGGAGTCCATCTGTGAAGCTGGAGCCTGAGGGAGGCTATTCGGAGAACGCTGCAGGCATGGGGGAGGCCATCTCTCCCCATTTCCTGGCAGTGGGGGAATGGGGTGACAGCCCTGTTCCTTGAAGGCCATTGTTAAAATCCTCTTTGGAGTTCACTGAGCAGACTGATAGGGACCAGAAGTAGGAAGGTGGTTGCCAGGGGCTGGGGAGCCAGGGATGGGAGTTACTGCTGAAGGAGAAGAGCGTTTCATTTTTGGGGGTGAAAAAAACCGGGAGATGGATGGAGGTTGCACAGCAG